GAAGTACACTGCTGAGGGGAGCAGCGGGCGGGTCAGGAGAGGTCTGCCGCGCCATGTGGTCACCTCTGGGGCAGGCAGGGATCGAACTCATGGCGGCTTTAGCTACTCAGTGCTGTGTTTTAACCTGCTGCGAGGGCCTAATTTTTTTTTATTTTTATTGTTAAAAAAAAAACTTTTTATCTTAACCAGTTTTTTCTTTATCTTTGTAAAATTTATTTCATTTTTAAATTTTTTATAATATAGTAGTTTATTTTTACATCATTTTGTACATTTTTTTTCATCTCAGTTGTAATCCCAGTGGGTTTCCCATCACCAGAATCCTGTGCACTTCCCCCCCCACCCCGTTTTTGATCCCATTCCCCACTCCACCCCCATATCTCAACCCATTTTAAGTGTAGGTAGTGTAGTAGTGTTAAGTATATTTATACTGTTGTGAAATGGCTCTCCAGGACATTTTCATCTTGCATATCAGAAACTCTGTTTCTACCCGACTCTGCATCCCCCTCTCCTTCGGCTACTTTAAATACTTCAAATAAGTAGAATCACACACTAATTTTTGTTGTCCCTTGTGGCTGACATTGTCCTCAAGGTCCATCTGTGTCAAGATGGTTTATATAAAACAGCAGGTTCTCGTGTATTAAAAAAAAAAAAAAAGCCTGGGGGGGCAGCCCCTCAAAGGGAAGGCCCCACTTCTGCGTGGTCACTGCCCCTCTCGGTTTCACTTCACTTCAACTTTACGATGCCAAGGGTTTGAGGTAAGACAGCACAATCTCAGAGCTATGAAAATGAAAAGCAGGAGACCCCTGGGAGTGGTCAGTCACTCCCAGGGCCAGGCCAACAGCGTTTGGCTCCGATTCATGTCCAGGGCTCTTGCCCCACCAGCCGTGAGGACATCCCGGCTCCTTCCGCCTGCCCGTCCCGCCTGGTAGCGCCACTGTCCCTCCGTCAGCCCGGGCACTAGACAGGGCCCCTAAAGTAAAGGGCACGTTTGAAATCTTGACCAATATGCCCTTGCTGTCCACAAAACTGGCGCCAGCGCCCGCCAGCACCCGCTTACAGATTGTAAGAGGGCCTCGGACAGCTTGACAGGCGGAGCCTGCGCCCGGACCCGCTACCCTGGGGGTGGGGGCAGGAAGGGAGTCCTGAGAAACCCCGACCTGTCTGAGCCCCAGGTGGGGAGCTGGTCCCGGCGCGGCTGTTGCTAGGAAACCAGCGCTCCCTCCTGGCAGCGCCCGCCCCAGGCCCCTGCGGGCCACCTCCCGCGGGAGAGAGAGATGCGCAACTCAACCGAGCACCGTGGGGGGCTGCGGAGCTCAGGGTCTCTGGAACAGGTGGGCGAGGCCGTGATTCCCCCGGCTGCGGGTCCCAGGCTCCCTCGCCCGTTCAAGAGCGCCTGCTGCTCGGTGCTGCCTCCAGGCGAGGGCTGGAGAACCGCTTTCTGGAATCTCAGGCAAGCTCGTGTACAGACGGGCTCTCACCCTCCTCTGTATGGAAAGCATGGGGTGCACTGAGCCCCCCGCTCCCCCCAGCGTCCGGCGTGCCAGGAGTGCTCCCCAACGGGGTTATCAAGACCCCATCTGGGAGCTGCCTGCCGCCGGGGGGCGGGGGTTGGCGCTGGGCTTTATAATCCGCAATCCACCCTGCCGGGACCTGGGAGGTTTCAGTCCCAGGGGAGCCCGCAAGGTGCCTTCCAGCAGGATGGCGCTGCCCTGTGTCCTCTGGGCAGGACCTGAGGACGTGCTGGGGCTGGTCTGGCCAGCAAAGCCCCAGAAATCCACACCAGCGTCTCGCCCTCCCCCGTCTGGCCTCCCTGCCATCGGGTCGGGCACAGAGCCTCTCGGCCCCCAGACCCAGCTGTCGGAAGGGAGACCGGGGACGCCCCTTCCCCGCGGGGGTGCCGGCAGGATGGCGGCTGTGGAAGCCCTCGCAGACTGTCGAGTGCGGTGCACATGCGCACGCACGGCCCTGGGGTGCTGTGGGGGCGCCGGTCTTGCTCCGGATTTCCAGCGGGTTCCAGTCCAGCACCCCTCCCCTCCGGCTGCTCTCCCTCCCGCCTTCCCTGCCTGCCATCACGGAGCGCTGGCTCCCGGCATGCCGTGCGCCGCTGACAGCCTTATAAATAGTCGCCTTTGCAGGCGGCGGGGAGGACAGGCAGGGCACGCACTGGCCCCAGCGCCCACCCGCACCCTCCCCCAGGTCAGTGTGTGCCCGTGAGGCTGTCTGTGCGCGTGGCGGGAGGGCCCCTCTTGGGGAAGTAGGGGGGCCGCAGGGCCTGGGGGCTGCGGTGCGCGGGACCCCAGGGGCTTGGCGGCGGTGTGTCTGTGGCTGTGATCTGTGGGCACCTCCGTGTGTTGCTCCCCAGCCTCTGCTCGGGTGTTTGTGCACTGTGTGTGTCTTTGTGTGTGTGTGGCAATCCCTCCCACCTTCCCAGACAGTCACCCCTTTGTCCGGGCGGGCACTCCTGGAGCTCCAGGTCCCTGCCCTTGGCACTCAGGGCTGAGGCCGGGGAGGGGTCCTGTGGCCAGACTCTCTGCAGGGAGGACTGGCCAGGGCTGCCTGTGTGCTGCGGAGCTGTTCCGTCACATCACTTTACTGTGCTGGGAGGTGGGGGGACCCCTGGGCTACTTGGCCCTGAGCCCCAGCCTCCTGAAAGGATGGGCACTCCCGTGGAGCCTTGCCTGAGCACGCAGGACTCTTCAGCAGTAGCAGTACAGGACTGAAAATACAGGCCCAGAGAGGGACACCAGCTGCCCAAGGTCACACAGCGGCCGCCCTGGACCTGGGATTTGACCCCCGGTTGGTTACCAACTGCAGGGAAGGCTGCTTTTGTCAGGAGCTGGGAGACCTGGCCTTGCAATTGAGGTTAGG